AGACAGGTGGTCAATGATTTGGGGGGCCCATATTCATACACCATATTCATACACTCCTTACCCTACTGAAGTCTTGCTGTTAACTTCAGTGGGGCTAATATTTTGCTGCAGCTATGTCCTGAAGGTATTCAGAAGACATAAAGCACTACAGGTGTTGAATATTATAAATCCTATGGTATTTTGAATGAAAGAGACTTAGGCACTGGGGAAGTAGAAAGTAGCAATTAGGTGAGTGATGGGAAAAAGTTGGATGAGCAATATGGGAAGCGGTGTGAAGAAGAAATAGAGTAGAGAGGAGAAAAAGGAGAGGAAAAAACTGTACGAAGGAGAGGGAATGAGTGTGAAATTGGAAAATGAAACGAATTAAATAAATCAGAATAGAACTGACAGTGGCTGAAAGAAAGTGAATCAAACCCCAAGGGACAGTCTGCCATCCCGTGCAACTGCATGGGCATCTCAGGACTGACACACGGAATACGTTGATGGTGTTTGGCCCAGAATGTGGAAAAAGCAGAATGAATAAAGAGTATGGAAGAGAAAAGAAAAGAGGAGACCTCTCAAGAGGCTGAGGATATTTAGGGACAGCCAGGGAAAAGGCTGGTCCAAGAAATGCAACAACAGAAAGCAATACATGGAGAAGGAATGAACTGTCTGAGCAAACGAGCTATCCTAGAACACAGAAAAGGCTGGGATTTTCTGTATAAAACACTGCAAAGTGGTCTCCTTGGGGCTCCCCCTGGAGTCTCCCCAGAAGCTCCAACAGAAGTGGAATGCAAAGCCCTGATCCTGCAGTCAGCTCTACGCTGTGGAGTGCTGTGTATACACACACCAAGCCCTGCTGAAGTCAATGGGCTCCATGGGGATCTGCCCACAGGGAGCTCACTGCAGGATCAGAGCCCAAGTCCCCAGCTTCTGAGCGACACGGGCCAGCATGGATGCATAACACTTGTGCTCAGATCTGCACCGGGTGCCATACAAGCCGCAGGTGATGATCTTTAAAATCTGAACAGTCTGGGATTGGATTATCTGAAACCATCTTTCACCCAGTACCCTGCCCTGGCCGTTAAGAAATCTGAGAACTCCATGCATGTTAGCAGAGTGCTCTTGCTTGAGAGCTGCCGCCTCTGGAACTGGCTGGACTAGGCAAAAGCTAGGGCAGGATGCAACAATTACTGATTTTCATTTAGCATTTGACTAACCCTTTATAAATTGTTCCTTAACTCCTGTGTTCAGGATGGCTGGGTAACATGGTGACAAGCACTATAGGAATTAATCAAGCTAATAGGCAAGAGTTGTGTTTTGTTTTGCCTATATCTTTTCTGCAGTGGGGAGGGGCTGCTTCACATCCATATTAAGCTTTAAGAATCTCCTCAGTTTTAACTTGCTTTACTGTGCTACTCTCAAGGCCTCACTTTGCAGCCAGCATTGAAGGTCATAAAACAAGAGACAATAGTTCCAGGCAATATGTCTAGACAACAGCACAAACAGGAGTAGCAGCATTCTCTCTAGCAGCTGGATTCCAGATCATTCATACAGAGGGTCAGCAACTCTTGTAATACTGGATGTTTTTCTTAGAGCCCCAGCTTCTGGAGGCATGTGATTTGGTGAGACTCTCTCTCTCTCTCTCTCTCTTTCTCTGTAAAAGAAACAAGTTTCTAGCTCTCATGGTTGCAGAGAAAAACTTGAAAAGGTGACCCGAGTGCACCCTAAAGGCTAAAAAGCCAGAAGACAAATAAAAAGGACCCATTTCTTTTTTTAAAAGAAATCATTATTTTTAAGCCAGTCTCATAATTTTTGGGCACCTGACACATGTTTTTCTGAACACTGGCGACTGGCAAAACTGAATGCATGTAAAGAAATACAGGAATGTGGAACTCATGTCAGCACAAGAAGCTGGAGCGTGCATGCATGACACAAAGATAACATAGGGCATATGCAAGCGTATCTTTAACTAGAACTGCTCCTTGCATGATCTTAGCATTAAATCTTGATAGATTCATGGATTTTGAGGCCAGAAGGGACCACTCTGATCATCAAGTCTGACTTCCTGCATAACACAGGCCATAGAACTTCCCCACTTTCTTGACTGTTCGTATGTATTGTGTGATGTCTATGTAATGTCTGCCTTTTTTCCAGTATGGAAAGGCACCTGGATAATTGAGTGTCGCCAGCTTAAGGTATGTATCCAGCTACCCTTTTGAAAAAAAATGCATGACTAATTTCTTAAGTATATATATCTTCCTACTGTATTTTCCACTGCATGCATCCGATGAAGTGGGTTTTAGCCCACGAAAGCTTATGCTCAAGTAAATTTGTTAATCTCTAAGGTGCCACAAGGACTCCTCGTCCTTTTTTCTTAAGACATGAAGAAACCTATTAGCCATGTAGATAGATTGTATCTTCTCCTCCTCCCTAGACAAAATGGCTCCCTTACATGAGGCATTCTCCTCATCTGGAGATGATGGTAAATAGTCATACTATACACACACTGCTGTCAATAGGACTACTGGTACAAGCAACTGCTCACTAATGTCATTGAGGATTTGTCCCAAAATATTTACAGACTCTAGCAAAGCATACTGGACCCACAGCAACACTGTTGGAGATCATAATGCTTGCAGGGATTCTGGTAGAGTTTATAAACCCATGAGGACTCTTGCTCCGATTGCAACGTAACCAAGGCATCTGGTTAATTTCATAAAATACCCAACAATTCCGTCCAGGTTTACGTTACATCTGACTTTGTCTAGCTTCAAATTCCAGTCATTGGATTATATTAGTCCTTTCTCTGATACACTGAAGAGCCCGTTATTAAATATTTGTTCCCCGTGTAGGTACTTATAGACTGTAATCAAGTCACTTCTTAACTTTTTCTTTTTAAGTTAAATAGATTGAGCTCCTTGAGGCTATCACTATAAGGCATGTTTTCTCATGCTTTTATCATTCTGGTGGCTCTCTGAACCCTCTCCAATTTATCAACATCCTTCTTGATTTGTGGGAACCAAAACTTGTCTCCTGCTCTCTAATAGTTAAAGACTGGCATCAGCACTGAAGTTTGACATTTCATATCCCTTCCAAAATGTTTGTTAGTATCAACTATTATAACCCTAGATATTTTTGAATTTTATTTGTGTATTTTGATTTCTAATGAGGCATCTACCTAAATCACTAGCCACATGTACAACCCCTTACAAAGATCCATTCAAATTCAACAGGCCCAGTGCCTGTATTAGATTGGATCCTTCCCCTTAAACATAAACCTAAAATTCTCCCTCTTTCATTAAACACCCCTCCTGGCTAGACAGAGCTGAGAGCATGAAGAAACCTTGCACTATCGGGCTCTGCCAACCAACCACTGAAGTAAGTTCCAGAGCTGATTAGCCCTTGCTCCAGATCTGACTGCCAGACTCCTCAGATTTAAACCAAACACTTTTGCTGTTCTTAACTCTTACAGTAACAATGAGAGAGACCTTGTTGCCAGCAGCGGATTAGCCACTGGGCCGAAAGGGCCTGTGCCCAGGGGCCCCAGCCAATTTGGGGGCCCCAGAAAAATGCCCCCCCCCCCCGTGCCCCAACCCCGCTCCCTGGCAGAAGCCCCCGGACCCCAACCCAGGTAACAGCACCAGGTAGCTGGGGCCGGGGAAGTCCCTGCACCCCGACCCTGCTCCCCAGCAGAAGTGCCGGGTGGGGTGGGGGAAGCCCCAGTGTCCAGACCCCGGCTGCGGCTCTGGGACTGGAGGAACTCGAACTCTCACTCTCCGCTGTGGCCCCAGAGCCATGGCGGGGGGACAGAGCTTCTCCGGTATTGTGGCGGGAGGGTAGGAAGGAGAAAATGGGTTGCAGGCTGCGGGGGGAGCGGAATGGGGCCGGAGCATGGTTGGAACAGGGGCAGGGCCGTGGGAGGTAAGGGGTAGCCTGGGGGCAGAATTGCAGGCGGAAGGCGTGGGGAGGGACCCCCTGCTTGCTCTGGCCCAGGGCCCCATGAAACCTTAATCTGCCTTTGGATGTTGGCATAGCCAGGGCCCCAACTCTTTAGCACCTTGTAGTTCACTACTGGGACTTTTTAAAATTGCATCCAGAAACACACTGGCACAGGTGTTGTGTGTTCTCTGAGAGAAACGCACCTCAGCAGGCTGCCCGCCTCTGACAGTCCCAGGTGACGCTTATGAATTGTCTTCAAGTTTAGCCCCCATGTCATCTAATCTGGCGACAACCCAGCCATGGATAATTGTGGTGAGGTCCAGATCAGAAAGCAAAGTGCTGCAATCTTTTAGCCACCTGCAGGTGTTAGCCCACTGCAATCTTGTAGTCAGCAATGCTTTTGGCTGAGGATCTAACATGGCCCCCTCCCCCACCCCACTCCCACGTTCTGGATCTGTGTAACAAAAGCCAGTCACGTTGTCTTTGCCTAGGGCACTGACCCAACCTCTTGAATCTCTTGCTCTTTCTCCCAGCCTGTCAACCTTACCTCTGCAGAGGTGACCCCAGCCCTCTATGCCCACATGCACCTCTGCCACGGAATGCAGGAGCAGAGAATCTGCACAGCAAATGGCTCAATCCCTTTAATTCCTTGGGCTGCTCACACCTGGTGCAGTGGAACTGTTATCAATCCTGCTGCTAGGGGACCCTCCATATAGGGTGACCAGATGTCCCGATTTTATAGGGACAGTCCCGATTTTTGGGTCTTTTTCTTATATAGGCTCCTATTACCTCCCACCCCCTGTCCCGATTTTTCACACTTGCTGTCTGGTCACCCTACCTCCACAAGCGCTAGGGCGGGGTTTGCCCTTTAGTGCATGCAAACTAGCAGTGAAACTGACTAGTCTATTTTCCTTGTCTAAGCAGAACAAAATGCAAAACAACAAATATACCTAGAGATCTATGCTTACAGTATGGTTGCCTTCCTAGTTTGCTGGTAACCTAGGGCCCTCACACACACATGTGCTCTTTGGGGTCATTTCTAATATTGCTATAAGCCACAGTCTTGCCCTAAATATTACCTTTCAGAGATAAGTGCTTTTCTATCAAGGTTTTCATTGTCATCTTATACTCGTCCTCAGTTATAGGGAGTTGTGCCAGCTTCATGTCTGGAGAATACTCCTCCTTCAGAACCTTTGCCCAGTTTCTTTCAGGTGGCCAGCATGCAGCAGACACTGTGAAACCTGCCTCGTCCAGGTTCCTGGCAAACGTCCGTCCGATGGAGCTGTTGGACACTAGAATCACAACGGCTCTCCCTTTTATGTCAATATTTCTCTCCATTTTCTTCACAATCCCCAAGGAGAAAACGATCACAAAGCAGGTGAGGAATGCAGTGCAGATGCACACGAAAGCATAAAGGAAGCAGGAAAGGGCCAAGGCAAGCATTAAATCTGCAGCTACCAGGAAGAATTGTCTAAAAGCGAATGCCATTGTTTAAAGAATTAGCCTGCTCCTCGCTCGGATGTTTGCTGAGAAATCTGGTAGGAGTCACAGCATGCAGTTACGCTGTTATGAAGCCAGCCAGCATTGCAAAACATGCAGAGGCAAGTCACAGCTTCACTACAAGGATGAATCATCGTCCTGGATAGAACAAGAAGTATGATTTCCAAACCGTATACATTTCAGCAGACGGCTGAGTGACTCATGCTAGTTGACATGGCTACATTGTACATTTCGTGGTCTACCAGGTTGAAATCTAAGAATTCTGTTCACAGGGGAATTACAAACAAGTCTCCACCAGGGCCAGTGATAGATCTTGTTTGTTTTTAAATAATAACTTTTCAGGGGCTTTTTCTGAAATACTGGGTCAGAGAGAAATTTGTGGAAGGCTCAGGCAGAATTATAAGAGCTGCAAAAGATTGTGGTATTTTCCTCTTGGACACCCACATAGGTATCTAGGTTGAGATCTGATGCAGAGTACACGTAATGCAAACCTCAGCTTTCAATTTCCTTGTTATGCATAAATTGGGTCATGTCCTCCTTATTTAACAATTATGACATTTCCAGCTGATTGGAAACTTAAGTTATGTGTACTTATTAATATTATTCACATAACTGAGGTTGTACTATATTCACAAAGGTCAAGTACCAAGCAAAAAGTGTAGGAAAATCCTTTGAAGAAAATTTTGTACTTTCTTAGTAGCTATCTGCAATAGTCCCAGTATCTTATTGGTACGCTTAAATCTACCACTCTCCAGGCTGCAGTAAATCTGGCTAAAACCCAAGAGAACAGAGAACAGTAGTGAAATTTTGACCATATGCAACCAATTTTGTTTTAGTTGTAAAATATCCTGTGTGGAGAACATTTTGCGTCCTATTTGTGAGGACTTTCCAAACTTGAAAATTTTGGTAGTGGCTAATTTACCTTAGAGATGAGATGAGTAAGTGGGGACATGAGAAAGTTATACACCCTAACAACTGGTATAGGGAAGGTAGGTTGGGCTCTGCCCTGCACTATTCATAGTACATTAACAAGGGGCCATCCACTGACATTGACAGGGAGTGTATTTAAAACCGATTAAAAGAAATACTTTTTCAGGCTGTATATAATTAGTCTGTGGCACTCATTGCTACATCTGAGGCCAGGCACTTACCAACATTCGAAAAATGGCCAGACATTTATCTGAACAACAAGACTATCCAGCATTGTGACAGTAAACATGTTTTTTTTAATTAATGAATTCTGGAATGGATAGAAACTCTCATGTTTCAGGGCATCCCAATCTTTGTAGGGATCAGGAGGCAACTTTTCCTACAGACCGGTTTTTCCATAACTGCCTACTGCAGGGTTTGTTACCCCTTCCTCTGAAGCAGCTGGTGCTGGCCAGTATTGAAGACAGGCTATGGGCTAGATGGGTCACTGCTCTGATCCAAGAAGACAGTTCCTATGCTCCTAACTCAGATTTCCCAGTTTCTGATAAAGTACTTTTTAAACATGTCCCTGATTTAAAAAAAAAAATCTTCAAAGGCAAATTTAGGAGGATTCCTTTGTCCCCGTGCTGTTGTTTATTAGAGACCAGCAGAGAGTGGACAGACCTACGAGCATATATTGACTTTTAGGCCATTCCTCTCCCCTTCCTGCAAGAATGCATAGGGATGGTCCCAGGGAAATGTTGCTGAAGGCTTCACGGCAAGGCAGGCCGTGGCACGTTAGGTGCATTTGCCAAGAATGAATGTGTATATAGGAGGTGGAAGCCTGGAAAGTCACATCCCTGTCAAATCCAAACAAGCAGAGCCATAAATGCTGGGAAACCTGGGAGTAGCAAACAACACAGACAGGTGGCTTCCATAGACATCCCTATTGGGGCATTCTTCTGTGTGCATCTCATGTTTATCTAATTGGATGTTCTTACCCTGCTTGTCCAGTTTTCTTGTGGCATGGATGTGACATCGGGGTGGGGCCTTCGAGCCACTCACCTTCAGGGCATGGGATATTGTAAGTGTCCTGCTCAGTTTGCATTCCTACTGAAAAGTTTTGGCAGCATGGGATATTATTAGAAACTGTAAACATGAACCGCACTCATTTTCCCAGCACTTGCTTATCCACTGTGCTATTATGCAGGTACCTGCTTCACAGCTTGTTAACTAACCGCACGTATTTAGCCGCAAGCCACTTCCATGAGTTTTCTGTATGTATTTGCTTTTATGTGCAAGCTAAGCACTATTTGCACACACTGGCATATGTGTGTGTATAGATATTTTTATATGATGAGGTAGGCAAAGCTTCCTAAGGCCTTCAAACGTCCAATTCCCTTTTAAATTAATGCACTACTTACAAATGAACAGGAGTACTTGTGGCACCTTAGAGACTAACACATTTATTTGAGCATAAGCTTTCGTGGGCTACAGCCCACTTCATCAGATGCATAGAATGGAACATATAGTAAGAAGATATATATACATACAGAACATGAAAAGGTGGAAGTTGCCCTACCAACTCTAAGAGGCTAATTAATTAAGATGAGGTATTATCAGCTGGAGAAAAAAAAACTTTTGTAGTGATAATCAAGATGGCCCATTTCAGACAGTTGACAAGAGGTGTGAGGATACTTAATATGGGGAAATAGATTCAGTTAGTGTCATGACCCAGCCATTCCCAGTCTCTATTCAAGCCTAAGTTAATGGTATCTAGTTTGCATATTAATTCAAGTTCAGCAGTTTCTCATTGGAGTCTGTTTTTGATGCGTCTCCGTTGCAAAATGAGTGCCATTCACATCTTTGTACCTCTTTACTAGACTTGGTCAGAAAATTCTTTTCTTCTTGCAAAGCAAACTTCAATTTTTGTAGTCAAAATGAAATGTTGATGTTTTGTTGAAAAATCCCAGGACACCAAAACCAAACAAATCTTTTGTTTGTCCATCATTGCTAAAAAAAACCCAAATGTTTCCGTTTTGAAATGTTTTCTGTTTTGTATTTAAACCCTGACGTTTTTTTTAATGAAAAGGGATTTTTTTTTTTGCAGGACTTTCTATTTTGTCAAAAAGCCACTTTCTGTCCATTTATTTGGACAGAAAATTTCCAATAGGCTCTACTCATCCCATCGGCTGTATCATGGAGTTGCTGTGTAATTTAAAAACAAATCAGTTTTTGAAAGTATGAGAGATTTTTTATACTTCACCCTGTAAATCAGATTCCTCTGCAGGAGACCAGCAGTCCGGGGTGAAATCACAGCCACATTCAAATCAATGGGACTTTTGCCATAGACTTTAATAGGCCAGGAATTCACCCCAGAACTTTCTCCTTCTTGTACTGGAGTTTGTATTGTATTATTTCCATGACATTAAGAACATAAGAACATAAGAACGGCCGTACTGGGTCAGACCAAAGGTCCATCCAGCCCAGTATCTTGTCTGCCGACAGTGGCCAATGCCAGGTGCCCCAGAGGGAATGAACCTAACAGGTAATGATCAAGGGATCTCTCTCCTGCCATCCACCTCCACCCTCTGACAAACAGAGGGTAGGGACACCATTCCTTACCCATCCTGGCTAATAGCCATTAATGGACTTAATCTCCATGAATTTATCCAGTTCTCTTTTAAACGCTGTTATAGTCCTAGCCTACATTCCGCAAAATGTATCTATTTCCCAAGGTTTGTCTTGAGGGGAAAGATTGTGCTTAGCAGGGTTTTGCAGTACATAGCCAAGGATTGTCTATTTTTATTATTTATTATTTGGACTACAGTAAAGCCTGGAAGCTCTAACCCAGATCAGGTCCCAGTTAGATACTGTATACACACATAATAAGACATAATCCCTGCCCTGATGAGTTTACAGGCCCAGATCCTCAAAGATAAAGTCCACTGATTTCAACGGGAGCTAGGCACCTAAATATGTTGCAGGATCTGGGCCACAGTCTAATTTGCTGGTATTGTGTTACTTATACATTTTTAATGTGCTAATTGTTCTTCATGTTTGTGCAAGCAGTCAGAGCACATCTGATAAATCTAATTAAATAATGACTATTAGCAATCTTTACAAATGCTTTATATTTATTTAATAACCTCACAGTTTTAAGGTCAGATATCTTGAGAGAGAAGTGAATACTCTATGACACTGTAAATATAGGGATTTCTTCTTCCTGGTCTATCCCTAATGGATCACTAGGTATTGGTCATTAAATCCAGCATGGATGCAGTACTGAATATTGTCTGTGCTGCACCACAGACTGATGTAATTTTTTTTTTGCGGGGGGGGGGGGGAAATCCCACATTTGGGAGAATGAGAGATGTATTGTTTACTATACTACTATAATTCCAGAATTGTGAAGTTATCTTTAGAGGTGGTCAAAGTTTCTGGTAAAACATATTTCTGGCAGAAAATTACTTTTTGACTGTGATGCTGGCAGACCAGGTCAGATCAGGGCCACAGACCAATTCACTTGTTTATTAGTATAGCTCAAAATGAGTGTAAATGTGAGAGTGTATTCAGGGGTTTAAACTTCATGAAAACTAGTGGAATGTTACTTGTATTGTTTTCACTTATCTGCTCCTGTTATAACGTAATAGCAAACTTTTACATTGTGTATACCCCTGTACCTAAATAACCCATCAAAGAAATCTTGTGAAATGCTAATGAAGGACTTAAGGACTTTAACAGAAAATGCTAATGTCAAAGCAAGTGGCCATTATGATGGTCAGAGATCAAAAGACTAAGCGCATGCCTTACTCATTGTCATAAAAGGGAAAGCCTATGTGGGTAGCAACACTGTCAGCTTTTCTTCTGTCAAAAGAAGATATAAGAATGAATTCAAAGAAAGAGCTTTCATTTTTGAACTGTTTGGACTCTTACAGGGAAGTGTACCAGATGCAAAGCAGAGATCCCCACAGACAATCTGGGTACTATAAAAGACTTTTGAGAAACTGGCAGTTTATTACTTCACATCCATCATTTAGAGTTACAAATTGTAATTTAGCTGTACATATATTTTACCCGCTTTAACCACTCAATAACTCTCATTCTTTTTTCTTAGCTAATAAATCTTTAGTTTACTATAGAATTGGCTGCCAGCATTGTCTTTGGTGTAAGATCTGGCGTACCATTTGATCTTGGGTAAATGACTGGACT